CTTTACACCACATGCAGAATCCTCGTTGAAGTGCAGTCCATTTTATAAAAATCAGGTTCCAGATGCATTTTTTGGTTCCATTTATTTCACATATTCTGGGAAACCATCTTCCACCTTTCTCAGTCTACAAGAAGATTACTTATTTTGAAAACGAATCAGTTTTTCTAAATTACCTGACGATTTCATCTTTCTGTATAAAAGCTGTGATTATTTAACTGCTAGTGAATTCTGAAAGTGTATTTACACCATCTCTCATGCATCATAAGTGTTCATACATCTTCAAACCAAGTACTACATTCTTCTGATTCAAGCTGCCACCTTCAAGCCACCCACACATGGCGGTTTGGTATATTCTAGGCTTTTTTGAGATAGGTTTTTAAAGAAACCAACACACAGATGCAGGTGAATAAAATAGATTGTGAAAATTAAGGACTGATTTGCAAATAAGTTTGGTAGTTTTAGAGCTGGAGTTTGCCACTGCCAGGCTGGCATAGGTAGCAGGTCAACCTGCCTCTTCACCCTTGGGTAGGGTTGTGTCTGACGTTCCTACAGGGCTTTCTTCAGTTTCACTGGCAAGCAAGACTTCCACGACTCCGTTTGGCAGCCTGCTACAAAATCTCACTCAAACAACTTCTCTGTCATCACAGACCCTGGGGCAACCTCTGAGTCAGCCTCAGGCCACTGTCTCAGGCTTTGCTCAGGTCTCCACTCTTCTTCCAAACAACGACTTATATGGCCAGACATGAGAGCAGCCTCGCCTACCGCCTGCTCTTCATCAGCTCAGTGCTCCTTGAAGAGATAATGTTTTCTTTCTGTTCTTCTCCATCCCGCTTTCACACCATCTCTTGCATCTTTATTGATGTCTTTTCTGGTCTGAGCTGTTTCCGGTTATTAGTTGGTTATCCAGTTTGTGCTCTTCATGTTTTCGTCTGTGAAAGGATTTGGGATGTTTGAGCCCATAAAGTTTTATACCTGATTTAAGCTGGCTAAAAATTTTACAATTTTTCAGGATCAAGGCCTAATCCAGGAAATAATCTGTTGGAAACCTGGTGTTAAATATTGTCTTGGTAGAGTGTTTAGGCTTTTGGAGTGTTTAATATTTTGAAAATTGCTTAACTTAGCAATGGTTGGCACATTCTTTAAAAGTGGAAAATGTTTATTACACAGACTTTTGGAATATGACTTACGTGACTGAAAAGTATCATATTAAGATAATAATTTTATCCATGTTATCTTATTTATGGGCTCATATTGTTAAGGATTAGGCGTTATGAACAACAGGTTTCTGCGTTCTGTATTTCTGAGTGTCAATGGAAAGGAGAAAAATCTACTCCTTACAGCTTTCTGCAAAGAATCACAAGGATACATTTGAGCCAGTTCTTGACTGACTTGAATAATTAGAAAGTTTGTGGCTGACAGGCTTTGGTTTCACCATTGATTATTAATAAAACATTAGAAATGCACAGTAGTCTTAAAAAGAAGAAATCTAGAAATCTGTCAGTTAAATCAATCTAACATGAATCAAACAAAGCTTGTGATAGAAAGGATAGGATAGATAGGCTCATTGTTACTTGACTTAATAAACAGGATTATTACTGAATTAAAGTTTGGATTTTTTGTCAGAACAGGATTTTTTCCAATATGTTTTGACAGAGCCTTGAGCTATGAGAAACTACTGACTGTAGATATTCTCTGCCAGAATGATGAATCTATTTCCAGTAAGCTAGTTGCTTCATCTTGTTGGATATACTCTTGGGAATTTATCACGTAATTCCCTTAATCCAAACCAGTTGTGTACATATTTTGTAATTGATGAATTACTGGCAGTAAATAAATATTCGTACAAAATCAACTATTTGTTAAAGAAAGAAAATACTGTTTAACAATTTTCGTACCGGAACTTAGCAGGCTTGTATTTACTGTGTCTTTTTCACATGAACTAGTGTCATCTGAAACTGCTGTTTACAATTATTACATTGAATATGTACCATCTCAGATAAGAACGCGTTTACATTGCAACTGTATGTCAAATACTTTTATCAACACAGTGAGTAATACCAGATCACTAGTCCTTGAAATAACATGTCATTAAATTTGTGAAGATGAAACAACTATTCTTCCATCAAATTCTGCTCTACATTTAGATGAAATCCCTTGCTTAAGTAATGTCTTTGAAGACTGGGTGTTACTTCCTTTAGCTATGATTGTAGTTGGCAGGCATTATATGTTCTTTGTGTATTACCAAAACAGAACATCTATCTGCAGGGTACTCTCTGTCTTTTCTTCATAAATGGATGTAACTTTGGTGTGTTGGATGTATTTTGGTGTGGTTTTTGCATTTGATTAATTGGGTCTTACTGCTTTTGTGTGTACATATATTTTATTCCTACTACTGAATATATATGATTGATGCACTGAACCGTTGGCTTCTGTTCTGTGAATATTAATCAAAGAATACACTCTTCTGCTTAATGGCTTTGCGGTGTAGAGGGCAGCCAAACAACATAGACTATAGTCTGCTTTTTTTGCTCTTTAATCATTATTGTGTAAGACACTGGCAAGAACACTTTTTTCATCTATATACACTATTTCATGCTTAAACATATCCATTGTTTGGTCAAAGTTATGAAATATTGTTGCTCAATTAAATTTTGTTTTCAACATTTCCTGGTAAAAGCAGTAATTGAAGAGATAAAACAGTAAAGGAAGGGGAGATAATTAAGTAGAAAAAAATAGTAGGCATAGCAAGCAAGGAAGAAGCAGAAGATGAGGAGTCAGTAAATTCAGCCTCATGTGGTTTCAGGTCTTATGATTTGGACAAATAGTTTTCTTTAATCAAAAGCCAAACCTGATGCTTTTCAAGATTCCATTACTGTGGTGAAAGAGATAATCTATGATTAAACTATTCTTAAAGAGAATCAGGGTAGACACTTGCTGTGTTCAGATGTACACTTAAAATGTGTGTAAGGATGGACGTTTAGGGTGTGACAGGTTCTTTGGGTGAGAAATTAAGAGACATGTTCAGTATTTGAAGAAAAAAAAAAAGTAAATGTTTTGATGGTGGTACAGCTCATTATCAGAAGCAGCAAGCTTCTTGAAAACACAGCTCACGTGTTTATGGCATGTGGTTCTGGTATAAAGGTTGATAGCTGCAGCTTTAGTCATTCTCTGTGCATCTCACCAGTGAGGTAGCCAAGGCTAATAGGAAGGGTTTATAGGATTTATAGGATTTTACAAGGGGTTTTGTTTTAGTCTCCCCTCCCCCTAAGACCTTCTCATAAAAATGCCTGGTAGTAGGGGCTTTCTTGAAATTATGCTGTTAACAAAATTTTCCCCGTAGCATTATCACTGGCTTAGCTGTGTAACTAGCAGAATTATCAGAATTTATTGAACAGGATTTCCTCCTGCAGTTGCCTGTTGCCCTTGACCATTAAGGACAGTCTTGCTGAAACCTCTCAGTGTGGTAGGACTATATAGAATATCACATTATTTGAATTTGCTAAGGTTCCTGTTCTACAGATTTTATTTTAACTGTTATGAGTGTAAGCATTTTTCTAATTCCTCCAGTTTCGGCCCAGAAAATATATCTCAGTTTTTGATATAGATCAAGATTTTGTAATATTCTAGAAAGGCATAAGGCAGGAATCTCCCAAACCTTCTGCATTTTTGTATGATGTAATTTGTTCAAAGGGAAGTCCGGGTTCATGGAAAGGAATATGGTAGTACTGAAGCTTGTGATTCATAAAAAAACAATAGTTGAAAGCTGAATCATTAAATCACAAAAGCTTTGTGTTTGTTTCCAGTGAGTTTATTTGTCTCAGAGATGTATTTAAAGTATTTTCAGGAAACATCAGTAAGAGAACTGAATGGCTTCAATAAAATACTGGCTTAGTCCACCATAGTGGAAATTAATCTATTTTATATTAGTTGAACATATATTTATCCTGTGTTATACCACCTCCTATAAATATTCCTCTTGCATAAATACATCTATTTATTTCTTAATATATTAGCATGCTTTTGCAGAAATAGCTATTTGGAAAGAAATTTTTACTTACGGACTGTCTATATAAATTGAATTTTTGTTTCAGATCCATGTCAAAATAGTAGACCTTGTATATTTTCAAAATCCTTTATCCTGGGTAAAGGCCATTTCCACTGTTTTATACAAACATCTGCTTCTGTGATTTGAGTCTACTTCTTCAGTTTTGATAATGATTATTCCCACATTCTTGTTGTTTGTCAGTTCTGGAAAGTTAATTGTTAGTCCAACTAAACAATCTTTGCATGTCTGGTTAATGTGGTTACTGAAATGCTGATCTGCCAAAGAAGTTTTTAACATATTAAGAAAAGCTAACTAAATTTAGGTACCTTTCTCTGCTGATCCACATCTGTCACTGTCCTTCCCTAGTTTTTGTAATCAAGCTTTAAGATTTCAACATTAATATGGAAGTAAGAAGAGACAAAACCATGGCTTTTTTAAGGCCTTGTCTAGTGGTTTTAGTTTAGTTTACATACAAGTTTTTATTGTCCCTAACATACGCAAATTTCAGCGTGGACTACAGTATCATTAGAGTATATAGTCTTTGAGTACAGTTCTTCAAAAGTGTTCATTTTGTGGATATTAATATCATAGAAATAGACAAATTGTTAAAAAGAAGCAGAGTTTTTGGATATGGTAATTACTGGCAAGTAGCTTTTCTTTAGCTTTTGGCTGATATGAATAAGGTAACTTGTCTGTACTTGAACAGAATCTATTAATATTTTCTCAGTCGCGTGTCTTTCTAAGAAACAGAAAAATTTAATTCATTTTAGATGCAGTTTCAAAGCTGAAGAACGTATTTAGGAATGCCTTTGTATGATAATTTTATTTCTGTATGTTCGTATAATTGTTTATGGAATTAAAAATGAAAATAATTTGGACTGAAGCAGGCATCTACATTTGTGGTATAAATGGATGGGAAACTAATAATTGCATTTTCTCTTTTTCCAAACTTCAGGGGGCACACAGAGATTACCTCGCACAATTGGAGTGTCTTTGGCAAAAGAACTAATCTTCTCGGCACGTATTGTAGATGGTGAGGAAGCAAAATCAATAGGATTGATTAGCCATGTGGTAGAACAGAATGAAGCAGGGGATGCTGCATACAGAAGAGCATTAGCTCTGGCAAGAGAATTTTTACCTCAGGTAAAAAAAATTATTTTGATTCTAGCTTTTAGCTTTTGCCAAACATTAAAACTAAAAAAGACCCAGCTGTATTAAGAAAAACTGTCATGAATTTATGTATTAAAAAGCCATTCTAGTTATGTGGAGAGCAATCAGAAGTTTTCTCTCTCGGGTATTGAGTGGTGTTATTTGGTAATTTATAGTGAAGCAAAAAAACTCTGTCAATCCTTGTATTGTCATGATGTGACCTGTGTCTGTATTGCATATTTTGGCTTTCGAGTTTTAAACAAAAAAATAGTGTAAGGTTGTTGTTTTTTTTTAGTAAAGCAATTATCTCAATAGGTTATTCTGTTGCTGTTGAGTATTTCAAAGGGAGGCAAACAGGTCCATATGAAAGCAGACGTATCTCAGTGTAATGCCTATTTTGAAAATGTAAAGCTAAATGTTATTTCAGTATTAAAGCAAAACCCACTTACTAGTGGAAGGTTTGCTTTCTATCCTTTGTGTATAAGTTTGATGAAAGAATCATGCTCTTATTATCATTCATTCAAAGTGACGTCCTATCTCTGTCTTTCATAAAAGAATTGAAATGGGATTTGCTAAATTCCTGTGCTTTAGACCTTGAACATTTTAGTAAGAAGTTTGAGTATGACTCTTACAGGAGTCTTTGTGTTATCTGACTGCTACC